TACCATGCGCTCCGCCTTCTTGAGCATCCGGTTGTTGAAAAAAAATTCGTAACTTAATATGATCTAAAAACGGCAGTCAAGTACTTCTTTGAGTCATAGCTTTCTCACTCCTGGATAAAAGGCATCAGTGATTCATTCAAAGGATAATAGAAGGTTGTTGACCATTTTGGTAAATATACTCCCGAAAACTGATTGGCTCCCGGAATTTTTCAGAAATGATTTGAAGAAGACCTTCATTTTGTTGCAGGACTTTCCCTCCAACCTAATACCTCAGGGACCAATGTGTTCCTTGAGATATCACAGGTAGGGCAAGCTTGGTGAGAAACAGCTCAATAGTAGGGACCATACCTCGTGCTTGGTCCTTATATTGGTATGCCCTTCTCCAGAGTTCCTTCTTTTTTCATGTTTCAAAGTGTGCGAGGGGAGTGGGAGGGTACAAGGGTATGTGGAAGGAGGAAAGCAGAAGGAAAAAGAAGGAAAGGAATAAATAAAACATGCAAACAGGATATACCATCTACCGGTGGAACGTATCTTCAAAACAAAAGAATTGAAGAGAAAACATCAAAATAGGATCATCATTCTCCAACGTGGTAAACATAAAAGGATAAAGGATAAAGTTTTTGGCGTTATTCAATTCCGTCTGAGGGATGCGCCCACGCACTCGACTTCCATTCAGAATCGTAGTGGCGTAATGAGTGCGTATGTGGCCTATGCAATGACTTGCGGTGGCCAGCCGATGTACAAGTCAGTGCTTTTATCCTCCCAGACGAGTCTGGTAACAGTTCACCGACCCCGCAGGGATGGAAGGCTTGGTTGGCCTAGGCGGGCATCGATCCAGGATTCGAACCCCTGACCGTGCGTGTGATATAGTGTTCCACTTGCCACTACACCACCTCCGCCCTATGGTAAACATAACACATGAAAAATGAAAAATGGGATTGGAACGTATATGACTGTATCTGCAATCGCTATACGTGCCGGGCGACGTCCTTTCCTTCCATGGTTGGTAAGAAAAAAGGGAAATTTATCACTCTTTTAATATCCATTATTTCCTTTGGAATAGTAAAAAGAAAAAACAAAAAGTTTTTGTGAATATTTGTTTATTACCTGATATTTATCTTATTAATAACAATATCTTGATTTAAGCTTCGATGGCTGCAGCAATCAACTGGCTCTTCTGTACGATGTTGTATCCGATTGCCCACAAACCGAAGAATCTGCCTGACTGTTTGACGGCTGAATATCAACGAAACTTGATGAAGCGTGACGTGCTAGTGATGCTTCTTACATTTTGCCTCTTCTTTGCTACATTTCTGCTCGGTAAACGCAGATCCACCTTGATTTTCTTTTTTTTTCTCTACTTAGCGCACCATTGGGCAACGTTAGAGTCTAGAGCGTTGTGTTATTTCAATTGTGAATGTACATATATATTATGGAGAAACCCACTTTGAATGGGGAAGCCTGAAAAAACAAAGAACTGCAGTTTTGAAATCTTCCAATGCACCTTACGACTGTATACTTCTGCTCTTCTGTTGAGCACAATTACAGAAGTCTCGTGTCATCAGTCGCTTGACGAAAATGGTTTATAGGAGTTCTTCTATACGGAAAAGAGCTCGACACCGACTTTGGAGCAGCTCTATGCGGTGTGCTTTCATTAATATCACTGACAGCCACTTTCGGCAGTGCATTCGTTTATCAAACCAAGGTGAGCCGAAGATATAGCTATGTGTGTGCGTGTGTGTATGTTGTTGTTGTGTGTGTATGCGTCGGTGTATGTGTGTGTCACCGTGCAAGTATACGTGCGTGTATGTACGTGTGTGTAGGAGTGTATATTTGCATGTGGATATACAGTAGCGCTCAAAAGTCTTCGGTGAAATGCTTTGACGC